TCCGGTCGAGGCGTCAAAGCCCTGCGCCTTGGCCCAGACACTACGGAGTCCAAAATGGCGCCCGGGGCCGCGGCCGCGCGCTTTCCCCGGCGCGTCTCCGCCCGAGGGGGCGGGCGCGCGGCTGGGGGCGGGGCGAGGGCCGCGCCCCGCGGGAGCGCGCCGAGCGGGTGTCCGTCTCCCGCTCCGGGAGGAGTTTTCCGCCTCCCCCGGCCGCCAAGGCGTGACTCGGCTCCGCGGGACTTCTGTGTGTTTGTTTTGCTTTGTGGCGGGGTGTGGGCGGGCTGGAGTGAACCAGAAGCGGAAGAGATTTTCGGTGGTGGAAGGTGGGGAGGAGAGGGAACGGCGTCTGTGGCCTGTTGTAGTCCGGAGCTTGCGGTCCCGCAGGGGACCTGGTCACCCCCTCTTGTGTGCATGGACTATGTTGTTGGAAAGACTGCAGGGAAAAGCATCTGACCAGTGTTAGCGCTAGGGCAATAGATGGTTATTTATAAAAATATTTTAGTTTCCAAATTTCTAAAATAGTTGTCTAAGTTACTACTGTGTAAAAACTGTATTTGCTTTAAGAAGTAGAAGGACTCTTGAAATTTGTAAGTACTTTCCTAAGACACAGTGGGAAAGCTGTAAAGGAGTGGACGTCTAATTAAGAGAAAAACTGGTGGAATTTTTTGTATATTGGGCGACTTAGTGGCTGTTGCCTACTTGATTTGATTTAAAGGTTTGGATTTTGGTAGCCTGTGTTCGGAAAGTTAGAAAAGTGCTTAGATACAGAATTATAACTGGAATCTTCTACCATCCCTGCAGCCCCTTCGCAAAGAAAAAAAAGGGACAGTAATTTTCCATCCCAAGGCGTCTTGGGACTGACCTTTGTAAGGAGGACGGGAAGCAGATTCCTGGGAACCCCGTGTTCTTCCCTTTCCCCCAAGAAACCAAGCTGGGGAGCCTTACAGTCACATTTCAATGGGAGGTGGTGCCGGTTGTTTTCTTTTCCCTTTCCTTTCACTTTATCTTCTCTCTTAGGCCTCGTTATCTGATCAAGGCAAATAGTGTAGTTTCTAGCAGCGCGATAATGCAGATGGACCTGAACTGCAGCAGTTCCTAGGGTCCCTGGGTGACTGCGGGCTGGGAACCAGAGGAATTCCTAAGAAAGGCAGTGATAGTTACTAGAAGCAGAAAACAAGCCAAACAGGTCTGTTTATTTAAAACTAGACGCTATAAAGGAGCATCCAAACACATTAAACCAGAAAAATAAACATTAATATTTGATCACACTCCAGGCCACAGTCCCTCTTCATTTGCCCATTACAGTCACTCCTAACCATGAAAAAGACGTTGGCACATTTCACCTATTGATTACTCTTTCATGTTTCCTATTATTGTTATTCCCCCCTTTAAAAAAAAAAAAAGGCTTTTATCTTTCAATTAATCAATACTTATTTTTACCAATTCTATTGGTCAAGGTCAGTGGCATGGGCATTGAAGGAGCGTGGCTGTGAAGCAGGCTGATGCATCAGGAAGAATGTCTTATCTGTAACCCTGCTTAGAATTGCTAGTACAGGTGATAAAGAACACAGCTCAATTATTAGTTAACTGCATTATTGTTTTTTAGTTCTGCACAATATACTTCCTCCATCCGTAGCAGACAATAGTACAAGCATGGCCATCTTAGTACACCAATAAACATTAGGTTAGGTTGCAGTCCAGTTGCTGGAGTGTCCTTGGGAGACAGATTCCAGGATATTTCCTCCAAAAAGGTACTAAAATCCTTGATCACGTTCTTTGTATAAAATGGCATAATAGTTTCCTGTAACCTCAGCAACATCCTCTTCTATGCCTTAAATCTTGTCAAGGTTACTTATAACACCTGATGCATTGTAAATGCTGTGTAAATACTTATTATACTCTACTGTTTAGGGAAAAAATGTACATGTTCATTTATTAGGGAAAGACACCATTTTTTTCCCAAATAGATCTAATTGTTTTGCTTTGGTTTGCTTTTTTCTGCTTCTAGGATTTGAACCCTCTGTTTCTGGCTTTCTAGGAAAGTATTCTGGTACTGAGTTCATCCCCAGCCCTTTCAGGCCCACTATAAAGTTACTTTCTTCTCCCTTTGTATCCTGTCTTCTTTGAAGTCACTGCATATGGCCAATAAAGAAGGAAGAACTTATGGTCTATTTCCTTAAGGGGAGAAATGTCAATATAAATTATTGGAACTTTTTCTGTCTTGAAACTTTTGACTCTACCTCTTAATCTCATATTCTTAGCATTTTACTATCTTTGTATTGTCCTCAAATCTGTTTTTTAAGTCATCAATTCTCTTCTCAGCTCCATTTAGTCCCTCTTAAGCCAATATTTGCCTGCAGTTTTGTATGTGTAAGCTTACTTCTTTCCACATCTGTGTGATCTTTCTTGATTTTTATATCTAGTTTGAAGTTATTTTTTATTTTTTAAAATAATTTTATTGAGAAACAAATAGTAATGACAGTTTCAAAACTGATTGCTAGCACAGTTTCAATAATTAACATGTGGCATATTGTTGTCTTACTGGTTATTCATTGTACAAGATGCAGACATGAAATCCTGTCCACAAACACTATTGGAACAAATCTCTCTATTCAGTGATCCAAGAAAATGCAGCTGTGTATCTATCCTATTTTGAACATACAGATACAAAATGATCGTTCATTTGTATCCTCCTTTTTTGTTTAGTTTTGTCAGAGAAGGGTATTCCATTTTATAGGTGCCTGAATTCAGCAAAATATTCCAATATAGTCCAGTAGTCCATAATAGTAGTGGGTTTTCCATAAGACTGGCAATGACAGAAGTTGTTAACTTGGCAGGGAGATGGCTCAGTGGAATAAATGCTTGCCTGACAAGTGCAAGAGCCTGAGTTCAATCCCCAGTTCTGCCAAAAAAGAAAAAAAAAAAAAAAGTTGTTGACTTGAGCCTTTCACAGCTCAGCATATTAATATGGTTTTACCTTTTATACTTCGTTTTTATACTTTTCTGCTGGATGGTTAAGACCAAGATAAAGCAAGACCTATATAACAAATAATGTAACTTTCGTATCTGATAAGGTCAGTCAAATCCCCTCAGGATTTATCCTGAAACCCTGTGCCGCAGTTTGTAGTTCCTTTGTGTCAGCCATGTGGATGAGTCATGGCCATTGCTTGACCAATTTGCTCTCTGTGAAAGCCTGAGAGAATGTTTTCTTTTCATGTGATTCCTTAGGCACACTCTATGTCATTAGTTACGTTGCTCTGTGGCCTGTAATCTCCTTGATCAGAAAATTTGGGACACAACTGAGTTACATAATGTTATAGTCCTGAGTCTTCACTGAACTTGAAAGGCTTGGGCCAAAATGTTGGCTGTCCTTGCAGCCCTTCTTTTTCTCTGATTTTTTTTGTCTGTGAACTTAGGTTGTTAACCATCCAGAAGAGCAGTTTATTAATATTACCCTACAACATAGGCAGTTAAGCTTAACCTCACTATCTGTCTGAATATCAAACATCTTAGGCATAACATGGAACAGGTATTTTCCATCAAATATTGGTATGTTAAACTAATACAGAATATGATTATGAGGAAAAAAAATTAAAAAATAAGATATTTTTAAAAATAGGAATAAACTGTTAAAGTTATTTTTTACTTAGCCATTTTAATCATATGACATAATTGAGCCTAATCCTAATTTTTATATCTAGTTTGAAGTTATTTTTCATTTTTTTATTTTTATTTTTCTAATTTTACTGAGAAACAAATAGCAATGAGACAGTTTCAAAACCGATTACTAGCACAGTTTCAATAATTAATATGTTGCATATTGTTCTTAGTGGTTATTCATTGTACAAGATGCAGACATGATATACCAGAAGTGTAAGAACCCAGAAAGAGACTACTCTCTTCCCTCTGGTATTAATTCCAAAGTCGGGGAGGCAGGTTCACATGCTCCAGGAATCTATGACTAGAACTAAGGAGATGGGGAAAAGTTTCTCAAAAAAAATGCTAAGTGGACAGTTGAAAATATGTCCAGCACAGATGTAACACAGGGGAGAAGTTACTCTTCTCTTGTGGCTGGGACAAATACCTGACACTCAAGCTTAGGGAAGAAAAGGTTTATTTAGCTCATAGTTACTGGAGGTTTCATAGTTTAAAGCAGCTTGAATGACAGAGAAAGACCTCGAGACACTGTCCTCCTGCACGCCGGGG